ACCAAAAATGCCTTAGTTCTTCTCAAAAACGGTTAGGGTTTGCTATGGGGAGTCCTGGAAGCATTGGGGATGAAAGGGAGGCTGAATAAGTGGTTTAAATAGGGTGCAAACCCTCATCTAGGGTTTTGTCCGAATAGCGCCTACTCGCCGAGTTCGGACGCGAACTCTTCGAGTAGGTCATTAAACTTTTGTGTCCAATACGCTCCGACTCGAAAAGTTGGACATCAACTCACCGAGTCCAAGGCCAAAATGCAAGATACTAGAATAAAATACATACCATGAACCAGGTGCTACATGGAAGCACCTGAAACCATAAACACATTATAGTATGCACAAAGCTTAGTGAGTTTTCCCTAAATACCACATACCTTAGTGGTTTAGGCCTAGCCCACATACATGCCTTTGGTCCTAGCCCACATACATGCCTTTGGTCCTAGCCCACAAACTTGGGCCTTACATACATATTTGGGCCTAGCCTACATATACATATGCAAGAGTCCCACAGACAACTAGCATACTATAAACATAACCAATGGACCGACATTGGTGCCTTCGACTCGCAAATACTATGCGGAGACTCACCTAACTATCGCAGATAAAAGTCAACCGCTCTAAAAAACTGGATCTGAGAGCCAAACACCACCTAAACAAACAAGCAAGATAATTTCTTAGTCTACCAACATACAAAAATATCAAAATCTAACCAGGTAAAAAGTTACCCATAAAGGTTAACAATCAACGTCCAAGGCTCAATAATTCTTCACAGCCGATTGCCACGTCGTAGCCATCCCTTGGCCACATCGTGACACACAAATTCAACCTGACCGGTCACAAATTCCCTAATCACCACGGCGTGGCGACCGGGTGCCACGTCGTGGGGGTTGGTCTGAATGACTAAATCGAATTTAGTTATTTCTGCTCCATTCCAAGGGCTCAAACTCACAGATTGATACCTTCTCAAAGTCTCATCGGATAAAGTTTCCAACTTTACCCCTTAAGACACCCCAAAATGACAAGATCACCAAACATAGGTTCTTACAGTCCAAAAGAAGCATATCTTAATGCAACACCCCAAATTTCAACCCTAAAATTTTCAAATTAAAAATTGTAAGTGTTTATTCAATACCCAACTATAGGATCTTAAAAGATTTATCAGAATATCGTAAAAGGTTATCATATGCACACGTCCCCCATTAATACGATGCAATAGACCTGTATCCCTCCTTTAATATAAGAAAACATAAAACATGTAAACCATGAATCGTAAGAACAAAGCTTAGTGAGTTCCCCAAAATACCACACACAACACAACACAAATAAAAAACTATGGTTTATCAGCAACCCTGGGGACTATCAGCAGTCCCAGTGGACAAAAAGCATGTTCGGTGGGTTATCAGCAACCCTAGAGACTATAAGCAGTCTCAGTGGGCAAACAGCATGCCCGGTGGGTTATCAACAACCCTAAAGAGTGTCAGCATTCTTAGTACACAATATCACATATCATAGTAACAACAAGCAAGACCCAGCTGGTCAGTACACACACACATACACACACATACACACACACATATATATATATATATATATATATATATATATATATATATATATATATATATAACCACACAGGCTCATACAAACATGCAAGAGTCACAAAGACAACTAGCATCCTATGTACACAAGTTAGTGAGCCGATATTGGTGCCTTCGATTCACAAGCACATGGAGCAAACTCATTTGAATCGAAGAACTTTGAAACACTATGACATAACCCTTTTTCTGCACTGCTTGCACCCCACGAATCCGCTAATACCAGAACCAGATAAAATCTTAATTAATAGCCCAAAACTATCAAGTTTGACCCACAATAAAACTTGGTCAAAAAGTAAATGGTCAACAGAAGTCAAAGTCAACAAGTCAAACTTCAGGTTGAGTATGCCAGGCGTACTCAGCTCGTACGCATGGCATGCTTACCATCCAGAAACAGGATCCCATATAAGTATGTGTGACGTACTCAAAGTTACGCCTAACATACTCAGTCAGATGACACTTTTCCATTAAGTGCTTAATATTTTAAGTCCTTTCATCCAACACTCATATCTAGTCCCACAACATCATTCTAAGTCATAAAGTTTCCACCTTTATGACTTTCCATGTCTAGAAAAGGCCTAAAAGCCAAAACCTTAACTTATTAATCCATTAAGACATCATAACACTTTCATGGAATGAATAAAAGGATCAAGATTACATTTTTATGCATCCTAAAAGCTCCATAATATATAAAGTTTCCAACTTTATCCATTAGAATAGTCTAAACCACCAAGATCTAGCCTTTAAGTATCAAAGGGACCAAAAGTGCATCTTTTTCAACCATTAAGTCCAAGTCTCCAACCTTCAAATTTAAATCACAATAATGTTTAGATGGATAAAGTTTACAACTTTATCCATAACAAGGTTGTAAACTTTCAAGATCTAAACTTTATGCACTAAAATGACCAAAAGATCATAACATCCAAAGCTAGCTAGATCTGACAAATGTATTGTCAAGATTCAAACTTTATACCTCTAAAAGAGAGATCAAGATGAACAAAGTCTGGATTTACAAGCTCAAATGCAAACAACACTTATCCAAAGAGCTCCTTCTTCACCAAGATGCACCCAGAGCACTTCAAATCACTCAAAAACACCTTCTTTTGCTCAAAAGGCTCAAACTAGGGTTAGGGTTTGCATGGGAGGGTGTTGGAGAGGTGGATGCTGAAAATGGAATGGGTTTGGGGAAGTTAAGGAGCATAAATAGGGCTCAAACCATGAAAAATAGAGTTTGGGCACTAATCGCATAAGCCAAGCATACTCAAGATGCCCTAGTATGCCCAGCGTACTCCCCGTACGCCCAACGTACACGGCTTAACCCAAAACCGTCTAAACTTCAAATGGTCGTAACTTCTTCATTTCAACTCTAATTTTGAAGATGTTTATATCCACATGAAGGTATTGATGAGCTCCACAACCACATTTAATTACTTTAGACTTAAAACACACCGAACTAAAATTCATAATTCATAAAAGAAGTCTGAAACACTACTTTTTACCCTTTGACTCCAAAGCACAAATCGAACTCTTGGATCATATAATCTACATTGCGTACATCTGAATGGGTCTAACCCTCTCTTTCCTAAATTCTAGAGCCTTATGATACTTGATATTTGGGTCTCGACCCCGAATTATGAAACAACTCGAAATAGGGTATTACATTTAATTAATAAGTACTAGATCCTTAAGGACACAAGCTCAACTTCTCCAGAAGGTTTTCCTTCCCTTCGAAGGTCACAAAGATAAGTGCTTTATGGACATGCATGTCGTATTCATGTCTTCTTCATTTTATGTCAAAAAGTGGAAGAAAAGGGCCCACACTCAAACATGAGCTCCAAAACACCATGAAACTCCAAATCTACAAGATATGATACCAAAGGGACCTCTAGGATCCATAAAGTTGCCAACTTTATGGAATTCTACCATTCCAATTAGCCCAACAAAAAAAGGGGACAAAACCTTAGATTCATAAACATAGAAGCATAAAGCTAGGATCTTGAACACTCACCAAGATCCAGAGATATCCAAGAAAGATCCTTAAGTTGGCTAAGATGGACCACAATCCTTCCTAAAGCTTCTTTTCCATTAAAAGTAACCAAATCTCCCAAAATAAGCTCACGCTTACAAGGAGGGTTACGGTTTCTGAAACTTGAGGGTGATGGAGGATGATAAGGAACCCTAAAAATGACTTAGAGGGGTTTAAATACGAAGCAAATACTAAAAGAATCATGAGCTTGGGCCAGAACAGTTGCCACTCTGTACCGATACAATAACATACGCGATCCATTAAACAATTACCACTCCATGGCCCTCCTTAGCCACGTTGTGGTACATGATTTCCTCCAAAACTTCATATCTGGTCTGTGATAAAAATAAGCATAGCTAATCTGGAACACGGGTGTTACAATTGCATTAGCTGACAATGTCGTGCGCTTACTTGGAAGTTCCATCGATGTGTTTGATCTTCACTTTGAGATTGACATGGTGAAAGCTATGTAAGTATTTCAACAATTTCCACATGCCTTAACTTGTGTCATTCCCTCAAGGTTAAAACTTTGTAATATTAATAATCTAGGTTTCAATATATAACATGTGTGTGTGTGTGTTTAATATATTTATGGTAAACATTATTTTAAAATACTGAAATCAAACTATAAAACAATACTACAAACAACAATTATTTATTTAAATGAAACGTATGTGAATAAACCTTACTTGATGAAACAATCTTTAACATATATCTTCTAGTAATTTGCTACAAGTTTTATCTTTTCACCCCTTCCCCTTGTGATGACATACGAACGTTGTTACAAGACCGACTGACTTGATGTTCATCCATCAATAATGATCTAACAAACACCACTTTCTCATGTATCTATCATTCGGAAGATCACATAACAATAATTATTATCTTCTTGTATGGAATTAGATATACTTCAACAATGAAGCAATGCCATACAAAATTACAACATTCTATATAATTCAAGCTTAATAAAGTCGCTACCAAGTGACAACTCATAAAAAATGTGTGGATTTCATAGTTAAAATGTCAACATTCCATTAAAGTGTCAGATAGATCTATAACACTTTATGATGTTAAAAAGGCATTTCCTTGAAGTTCATATGAAGTGACAATCCATGATAATGATAATCTTTGGAAAACTTCAAAAATCATCAAGTATGCTATTTTGGAGCTAAAGAAGTAAGACTTCCTGATATCTAAATAACAAGTATGACATGTCCATAAATAACTCTTTTTATGAAGAAGACAATGGATTTTTTTAGCTCAAATGAAATTAGTACGTGAAAGTTGTGAAAGTTATGAAGGTTTAAAGTTGGGATATATTTTTTTTCACCGAATAGTCTACTTTAGACGTAAAAAAATATGATTTTCTGGCATCTAAATTTGAAATGTTATATGTGTGATATGCAATCTTTGTTATAAAGAAAACAATGAAAAAAATATTCCGGTTAAACGGAGTTCGCAACGCTTTCGATAATATTAAAGTTCAAAGTTGAACCTGACTTATACGGATGATCGCTTTTGATAATATTAACTTTTGGCATTTTGCTAATTTAAACTATTTTTTAAAAATTGGTCCGTGGGATTAACCTAATTTGTTAATATTTTCCTAAAATTTTAGTTGGGTGGAGTTGATATTTTATATTATTTTTTAATAAAAATATGTGTAATTACAAATTGTATTCTTCAAAGTCGTTCTAAAATATAAAACTAATGAATCAATTCTAAAAAAATATAAATAAATGATGAATTACTCGAACTAACGATCCAAAAATAATATAAAAAAGGGAACAGGCACGGCGGGAGGGTTTCAAGTAATCAAGTTGCAGTAGAAGGAATACCGAAAACGTAAATCATGGGATGGGCAATAGCTTTGCACGGCGGAGCCGGCGATATTCCGGTCGATTTACCAGCTGAACGCCGTGAACCTCGAGAAGCTGCCCTCCGCCGTATCCTTCAGATCGGTGTCTCCGCTCTTAATGCCAAATGCTCTCCCTTAGATGTCGTTGAACTTGTGGTATTCTCCTTCACTTCATTTAAATTACTCTTCCAGTTGCATAATTGTTGCTCTAAGCGGTTTATGTTCTGTTCATATCATCTCTATGATCTCTTCTGAGCTTCTCCTCACGCTAGCTATTCGATGATGCCAATTCTACGTTTCTGTTGGATTTAATTAATTTTCACTTCGCAGAAGAGAGATGATCCTAAGACGTCTGAATAGATTTTTTTTTCATTAACAATAATTAATAATTAGCTTGTTTTGTTGTCTTGATTCTGAGAACTTTACATGAACTATTCTCATGTCAATCACGCCTCTAACTTCACAATTATGGCTGTAAACAGTCCACCCATGTTCATATCATTTCTATGATCTTTTCTCAACCTTTATCCGTGCTCTTGTTTAGAATATGATTACCTTGAATCTAGTCCAGTTCAATCGAATGAATTTTCAGCATGTTTAAGAGAAATTATTGAAATTCTAACTCTATGCTAGGAACGACTGAGACATCTAACTGATTATTCATTATTTTAACAGTACTTTGTAATTGATTCCAATGATAGTAGGTAGATACCTTGTTTTGTTGTGTTACTTGATTGTGACAAGTTTGCACATTAAAATATCCTCATGATTTCTTCATTTCTTAACTTGTTTGAGTGTTGATTTGTATGAGGAATTTATGCAACATAATCATACTCCTGATTTGTAATTTGTAGGTATGTGAACTGGAAAACTGTCCAGACTTCAATGCTGGTAAAGGATCTGTTCTAACCACCAATGGAACAGTTGAGATGGAAGCTTGCATCATGGATGGAATTTCAAAAAGATGTGGTGCAGTTTCTGGTGTCACAACAGTTGTCAATCCCATCTCTTTAGCCAGAAAAGTCATGGAAAAAACTCCTCATATTTATCTTGCTTTTGATGGAGCAGAGTCCTTCGCAAGAGAACAGGTTTCCTTTCTTTTCTTTCATTTTTTTTAATCTATCAAATGAAACACTCCAAAATGATTCGAATCCCACAGTTTTATCTGATTTTATATCCCTTTGGACAATTACTTTTGTTAGGGGCTCAAAACTGTAGATAAGAGCCATTTCATCACTCCTGAAAACATCCAGAGATTAAAGCAAGCAAAAGAATCCAACAGAGTTCAAGTATGCTCATTTCCTCTCACTTCTTCACTTGATTATTTAGATTCAAATAACATACAAATTACTTTCAATTATTTGATTTAAGTTCAAACAAATAAAAATATGTTGATACTCTATTTATTTAATTTTAAATTGAAAACAATTTCTTGTAGCAAGACTATACACAACCTATTAAAACACCAGATGAGAAGGTTGCTGACGGGGATAGCAAACTTGGAACCGTCGGATGTGTGGCGGTGGACGGTCTCGGCAACCTAGCCGCCGCCACTTCCACCGGCGGTCTGGTCAACAAAATGGCGGGAAGGATCGGAGATACGCCCATCATCGGTGCAGGGACCTACGCGAATAAGTTGTGTGCCGTTTCTGCAACCGGTAGAGGTGAAGCCATAATACGGGACACGGTGGCGAGGGATGTGGCGGCGGTTATGGAGTATAAAGGTTTAGGTCTGAAGGAGGCGGCGGCGTATGTTGTACATGAGGTTACGCCGAAGGGTACCACCGGGTTGGTGGCGGTGTCTGGTGGTGGTGAGGTTGCTATGCCTTTTAATACGACGGGTATGTTTAGGGCTTCGGCTACTGAAGATGGGTTTATGGAGGTTGCGATTTGGTGATTTGAGTGATCGATTTCATCTTATGTTCATTAATGTGTTAATGACTTAATGGGGTAGTTATATTTGTCTTAATCTATTAAGATATCAGTAATTTCTCTATTTGTTTTATTTTCGTCTTAATTTCTTTCGTGATAAATTTAATAAATATTTATAAAATTTATCGATAAATTAGTCATTTACTCTAGCAACTTTATTTCAATCCAAAAAGACAAACATATTTTACATCATTTTCTATTAGGCGCTTTAATAAGAAAAATAATAATTTAGCCAATTAAATTGGCTTATTGTTTTTCGTTGGGTCCAAATCCAAAAGCAAATTTTATGTTTGATTTGTGGTATCGGAGGTGGATTTTTTGATTACTTTTTGTTGTATAAGGTTAAATGTTGGATATAAAAAGGCTAATTTTAATTATTATCTAATAAGAAAACAAGAGAATAAAAACGCTCACGTAAACCAACTATAGCTAGTCATAAAAAATGGAGAAATCAGGAACAGTATAAAAACTGTTCAAAAAAATGCCAAAGAGGCTGTTTAGATAAGGGTTAAAAACCATTTTGTTTTATATATAAGAATATATGATGTAAGAGCCCATTGGAATCGATTAATCTCACCTATCAATATTTCATTTTCTTTTCCGATTTACTCTTTAACCTCTAAATTTCAATAGAAATAGAATGGTGGGCACGTGACACCGTAACACCATTATAGTCAAGGTGACATATTCATAACCGAGAATATCTTCCTACCCTTATGACTTGATAATGACAACGGAATGCAACATCATTTTCAATCTCTCCCTCTTAGGGAAGTAGCTAAGTGTATTTCAGATGGGTTCTAGGACCTACCTAAGTTCTAATAACTAATAGAAGTTATATAAAATTTTATATTATGATTTATCTTATCGTATTGAAAAATATAAATGATCTATCTATTTACGTATAAGAAACCATGTAACTTTTTATTCTAAATTCGTCACTTCTCTCTCTCTCTCTCTCTCTCTCTCTCTCTCTCTCTCTCTCTCTCTCTCTCTCTCTCTCTCTCTCTCTTATCATTGATTACCTAGTTATAATATGGAACAACTTGGGTTTTATAACACCCACTCATAGCGAGTAGTCTTAAACCTTACAAAGTTTAATGAACTTCTATATCACCGTCATTATATTTTTAAATATAATTATAAATTTAAGAATAAAATAGTTAAAAAAAATAGACAAAATTACAAGAATGATCTTTGTGTTATGTCACAACTCACAAGGTTGGTCAAAAAAAAGTTTGGAAGTGGTACAAAATTTTGATTTTGTTGCGATTTTGATCCAAAGTGTTTTAAAATTTTTATAATGATGGATTTGCCGCCTTATTATTTTTATTTTTATTTTTATTTTATTACAATGATTAAAAATAAAACAAGAATAAAATATCTCTCCCCCCCCCCCCCCCCCTCTTGGTGTTTTGGATTGTCAACATCCCTGAAGATCAATAACTCACCTCCGACCACTACTATACCCCTCACCTCTGACCATCTCCTCTCAAAACCACATTGTTGGATTAGGTGTCTAAGCCCTTAACTATAAATAGGATGTACTTGACCCGATAGATTTTTATATAACTTTATACATTATGGGAATATAGAAGGAAGCTATAGGTCTTTCTAGGAGTACACTACTTTATGACACAAAAACTTACATAGCTGGAGTAACTTTTACCCGAGAGCATGCATACATAAGGGCTATATCATCATAAAACTACATTGCACTGTTTTCAAGTACAAAACAACTTTCATATTGGAAATCATGCATCCATATGGTTTTTATATAGATTAAAAAATCTACATAATATTATCACTTAAGAATACGATAATATTTATACATTTTGGTCCGAATGGACTAAGACTACATTCCATTTTACTAAGAAAATATAGGATTTTCTGGAGGAACATACGAAAATTTTTAAGGAACAAAGAACTTATTTTCTAAAAAAAATGCTTATGAACTCACCAACTTAAATGTTGATACTCTTTCAAAATTTCTTGTATTCTCAGGAAACCAGTAGGCAGGTACACGCACAGGTTTTCAACAAGACGGAGCATAATAGCTTCTAGTCTTAGTTTTACTATATACATTTGGAGTCATTCAAGCTATGTTTTGAATACAATGTAAACACTATATATATATATATATATATATATATATATATATATATATATATATATATATATATATATATTCAATACAATGGTTGTTGTTGCTTTGATTACTATTATTCATTTGTTATAATATTGTACATGACGTACTCCGCCCTCGAACGTTCCATCGTCTCGGTTTGGGGATTTGACAATTCTCAAGCCTAGGGGTCCTATTTATACTTGAGGCCAGCTAGGGTTTCAGGGTGGAAACGCTAATCACTTAGCTTAGGGCCTAAGCAAGTCCATAGACCTCCTTGCCTTAGGCCTTGGACGAAAACTCCTAGATCCTTCTAGGATTTTCGGCCTAGCCATAATAAGGGTCATCCAATGGCCCAAAGCCTCAACTATCAAATAATTACAAAACAACCCCTGTACTTTTAATCAGTTCCTTTAATCACAAATTTTTTTATACTGATGGATTTGCTCCCTTATTATTTTAATTTTTATTTTTATTTTATTACAACGATCAAAAATAAAACAAAAATAAAATATCTCCCCCTGTCTTGGTGTTTTGGACTGTCAACATCCCTTAAGATCAACAATTCACCTCCGACCACTGCTACACCCCTCACCTCTGACCATCTCCCCTCAAAACCACATTGTTGGATTAGGTGTCTAAGCCCATAACTATAAATGGGATGTACTTGACCCGATAGTAGCATGGTCCTTTTGGGTTGTCTTCACACTGGTGACTAGACAGGAAGACTGTCGAGGAGAGATGCTGATTTTTTATTAAGAATAATAAATTGGGACATAAATATGATTTATTAATATCTTATATGAATAATATATTAATTTGTAATCATATTATTAATTAGTACTTAATCAGAAACTAATTTGGAATTAATTTTAGGATTAAAGGAACTGATTACAAATACAGTGGTTGTTTTGTAATTATTTGATAGTTAGGGCTTTGGGCCATTAGATGACCCTTATTAGGGCTAGGCCGAAAATCCTAGAAGGATCTAGGAGTTTTCATCCAAGGCCTAAGGCAAGGAGGTCTATGGACTTGCTTAGGCCCTAAGCTAAGGGATTAGCGTTTCCACCCTGAAACCCTAGCTGACCTCAAGTATAAATAGGACCCCTAGGCTTGAGAATTGTCACATCGCCAAACCGAGACGATGGAACGTTCGAGGGTGGAGTACGTCATGTACAATATCATCACAAATGAATAATAGTAATTAAAGCAACAACAACCATTGTATTGAATATATATATATATATATATATATATATATATATATATATATATATATATATATATAGTGTTTACATTGTATTCGAAACATAGCATGAATGACTCCAAATGTATATAGTAAAACTAAGACTAGAAGCTACTATGCTCCGTCTTGGTGAGTTCATAAGCATTTTTTTTAGAAAATAAGTTCTTTGTTCCTTAAAAATGTTCGTATGTTCCTCCAGAAAATCCTATATTTTCTTAGTAAAATGGAATGTAGTCTTAGTCCATTCGGACCAAAATGTATACATGTTATCGTATTCTTAAGTAATAATATTATGTAGATTTTTAATCTATATAAAAACCATATGGATGCATGATTTCCAATATGAAAGTTGTTTTGTACTTGAAAACAGTGCAATGTAGTTTTATGATGACATAGCCCTTATGTATGCATGCTCTCGGTAAAAGTTACTCCAACTATGTAAGTTTTTGTGTCATAAAGTAGTGTACTCCTAGAAAGACCTATAGCTTCCTTCTATAATCCCCTAGTGTATAAAGATATATAAAAATTGAGATCGAATAAACCGTCGAATATAATGGGTTTTCCCCATGCCCACAACCACACAAGGAATAGGATCTTAGGCGGACCCAACCATTTCCAAGTTGATCGTGTATAAATTTTATATAATTCTGCCGTGTACACATAGCAATTATGAATGGAATCTAACCATTCTAGACGAATTGTAGTCTTAACTACCATAAGACCGATAAGAGTGAATGTTTGTTCTTGGAAATAGTATATTGCAGTAGTACATAATTAGAACTTCTTTCTTTGTAAATGTATTGTATGTTCAAGAAAAACCCAATATTTTCCATATAGAATGAGTTATAGTCTTAGAGATCAAAGACCAAATTGTACAAGTATCTTCCATACTTTATGATAGTAAGTGCAGTTTTAAATAAATAAAACCCTTATGAATGTAGGAATTCCAATAAACTGTATGTGTCGTTGTTTCCCTATGTGAGTTATTATAACTGTGCAATTGACATGGTAAGCCTATTACAACGTTCTTCAGGCGTCGGAATTTTTTGACATTTGTCACCCCAGACCTGCCGGTCTAGCTATTGTAAGCAACTTAGGGTGCGGGATTGTCAGTCCCAATATAGATCTATACACAAGTATCACGCTCTCCCTACAAGAGATTATGGTTATAATACATGACTTTAACCAGTACACTAAGAGTACAATGAAGTAGTATCTCACATCTTTGATCCAATGAGTTTACGTGTAGTGTGAATGAAAACACTTTTTGAAATGTAAGAATTCTCGTAAACTATATATGTCGTTGTTTCCCTATGTGAGTTATTATAACCATGCAATTGACATAGTATGCCTATTACGACGTTCTTCGGGCGTCAGTATGTTTTGACATTTGTCACCCCAGACCTTCCGGTCTTGTTATTGTAAGTAACTTAGTGTGCGGGATTGTCAGTCCCAATATAAATCTATACACAAGAATCACGCTCTCCCTACAAGAGATTATGGTTATAATTGTCACACCCCTGAACCAGACGGCGGAAACGTCTGAGGGCTATTGTGACTTAATTGAATACCATCACAATAAATATACATGAATCATAACATCATTCACCACCATGCATTGAAATATTACAACCGATATTGTTTACATTCAGTACATTGTTTTAAAGCATTACATTTCCAAGACATAAACCGTTCGATATTAATTAAACAAAACATCATAATATCACTGGATACATTTTCTTCGATTTACCTGTTACCTGAG